TGGCGGAGCCCGGCGTCAGTCCGTCAGTCGTGTCGTCCCCTCTCTAGTCCTCTCTGCGGTGCGGTGCGGCGTGTTGTGAGTGTGTTGAGTTGTTGTGACTCGCTGCTGCCGCCGGCTCACGTCTTCACGTCGCTGATAAACTGCAAGTATGCATACTTGTCTTTCATTCGTGTGAATTAATGGTTTCATCGTTACTCCGACACTTTCGCTGCATTTGTTTGGCGTCGGGCGCGTGCTGTTTTTACTGTGTGTTGTGATAGGTGTTTGGTTTTGGCGAAGTCTTTCCGGCGCTTCTGGCGACAGAAGTTCGAGGGAGAGGTGCGACTATAACCTCATTTGCAGCAGTGTTTGGGTGTGTGTCGAACATCATGGACAAAATGAGTCAAGGTGAGTTGAACGCGAGTGATTTCAAGTGTACTACGGAAGGTCACTCATGAATTTGTGTTATGAATACAAGCAACGTCTGAATATTTTCCATACTTGTGTAAAGGAAAACAAGGCCGCACCGTTTGTTGTTAGAATCTTTTAACACTCTCGTACTCTGACCAATTTCGTATTTGTCGCATTGCTGTTGATGCTCGTGACGTTCGATGTTCCGGAGCGCCATTCAATTCACTTTTTGTCGGTACGTTCAGGTGCGGGTACCGGTGCGCCGCCCTCCGGCCGCGGGCCCATCGTGGGCATCGACTTGGGGACGACGTACTCCGTGGTGGCGGTCCACCTCAAGGGCCGCGTGGAGATCCTGAGCAACGACAGCGGCTCCAGGACGACGCCGAGCGTCGTGGGCTTCCTCAGCGGCGACAACTTCGTCGGCGAGGCGGCCAGGGACCTGCCGCCGCAGTCCCAGGTGTTCGGTCAGTATGGACAGGTGACAGGTGTCGTGTGACTGGGCCCCTTCTTCGCTTCGTCACACAGCCGCCTGATCGTGTCGTCCCCGTGTGACTGAGACACGGCGTGCTTTGGTCTACTTCCCCGCAGACGCCAAGCGGTTGATCGGGCGGCCCTGGAAGCACGTAGTGAACCTCGCCTGCAGGAAGCACTGGCCCTTCGGCGTGTTCGACGACTGTGGGGTGCCGCGCATCAAGGTCAAGGTGGACGACAGGGAAGAGGAGTTCGCACCTGAAGAAGTAGGTGGCTGCCAGAGGGGAGGGTATGCACCCCTCCCCGGCACTCTCCCCGTGGCTCTCCTACGTCTCCAACCCCATGTCGTGCACTCCCTCCCTCTTCTGCACAACCCCCAACCCCTCTCCCCTTC